AATAATTTGACTTAGTATTTTAAAATCTAGGGCCAAATGTTTTATGGGCATATCTTTGAGACATACCAAAAGCAAATACATATTTTACACAGATTCTTTGTAGAGAACTAAAAATGAGGGAACACTCATGAAGTTTGTTAACTATGCTGTTCAGGTCTTATATTTTCCACTTTAGGTCTTTGTTATGATAAACACATAACATTGAATTTACCTTCTGAACTATTTTTAAGTGTACGATTTAGTGAGATTATATAGAAAAACCCTAGTGAGCTTTTCGGCCAACCCAGTACAGTCACATTGTTGGGGAACAGCTTTCTAGAATATATTCATCACGCAATACTGAAACTCTATTCTCATTAAACATAAATTTCCCTTCCTCCTTCCCACCAGTCCTTGGTAACTATCTTTCTATCATTTTGACTATTTTAGATACTTCATATGGTAGAGTCATACAATATTGTCCTTTTATGACTGGTTACTTCACTTAGCATAATGTCCTCAAGGTTCATGCAAGCTATAGTACATGACAGAATTTCTTTCTTAGGCTGCACAGTATTCCATTGTACTACATTTTCTTTATCATTCATCTGTTTGTGAATATTTGGATTGCTTCCACCTCTTGGCTATTTTGAATAATGCTGTGATGAACATGAGTGTACATCTGTCTCTCTGAATCCTGCTTTCGTTTCTTTTCCATATATGCCCACAAATGGGATTAATGAATTGTATGTTAATTCCATTTTTCGAGGAAACTATACTGTTTTCCATGATACCATTTTATATTCCCATCAACAATGTATAAGCATTCCAACTTCTCTGTATCTCACCAAAACTTATTTTCTGTTCTTCTGATAGTGGCCATCCTGATGGGTATGAAGGGATATCTCATTGTGCTCATCTCTAATGATTAGTGATGTTGAACATTTTTTCACATACTTACTGGCCATTTGTAAAATCTGATTTGGAGAAATGTCTAATCAAGTCCTTTGCTTATTTTAAAATTGGTTTGTTTTCTATCATTGAGTTATAAAATTTCCTTACATTTTCTAGATATTAATCCCTTATCAAATATATGATTTGGAAATATTTTCTCCCATCCCATAGGTTGCCCTTTCACTATGTTGTTTCTTGTGCCATGGAGTTCTAAAATTTGATGGAGTCCCATTTATCTTTAATTTTATTGCCTGTGTTTTAGGTATCATATCCAAGAAATCACTGCTGAATCGAATGTCCTAAAGTTTTTCCCCTGTTTTCTTCTAGGAACTTAATAGTTTTAGGTCTTACATTTAGGTCTTTAATCAAATGAGTTAATTTTTTATAAAGTATAAGGTAACTTTATATCTTTGCATATGGTATCTGGTTTTCCCAGCGTCATTTGTTGAAGAGACTGCCCTCTCTCCATTGTATAGTCTCAGCACCTTTGTTGAAAATCATCTGGCCATGTATGCAAGCATTTATTTCTGGGCCCTCTATTCTTTTCTGTTGGTCTGTATGCCTATCTTTATGCCAGTATTGCTCTGTCTTAACTACTGTTGCTTAGTAATATGTTTTGAAATTAAAGAGTGTGAGGCTTGCTGCCTTTTTTTTTTAAAGATTGTTCTGGTTATTCCGGGTCCTTTAAAATTCCATATGAATTTTACAATTTTTCTTCTATTTCTATAAGAAGTGTCATTGAGAGTTTGATAGAGAGTGCACTGAATCTGTTGATCTCTTTGAGTAGTACGGACAGTTTAACATGATCGTCTTTCAGTCACTGCATGTGGAATGTCTTTTTTCCTTTCTTCTTTAATCTCTCCTAGCATTGTCTTTTAGCTTTCAGTGTGTAAGTCTTTCACCTCCTTGGTTAATTTTTTTTCTAAGTATTTTATCCTTTCTAATGCTATAGGACGAGGGATTTTTTTCCCCTTAATTTTCTTTTTGATTTGGTCATTGTAGTGTATCAGAATGCAACTGATTCCTAAGTGTTGATTTTGAATCTTCAACTTTACTGAATTTGTTAGTTCTAAAGGGGAATTTTTTTGTATGTGGAATCTTTAAGGTTTTTTACATATAAGATCATATCATCTGCAAATAAATCATTTTAATTATATTCTTCCCCTTATGCTTTTCCAATTTGTATATCTTTTATTTCTTGTCTAGATTGCTCTGGTTAGAATTTCCAGGACTGTTGAATAGAAGTAGTGAGAAGGGACATCTTTGCCTTGGTCCTGATCTTCAAGGAAAAGCTGTCAGCCTTTCGCTTTGTTGAATTCCATGTTAGCTATGGGCTTTTCACATATGGTCTGTTATGTTGAGGTAGCTTTCCTTGAATTCCTTGCTTGTTGACTGTTTTGATCATGAAAAGTTGCTGAATTTTGTTAGATTTTTTTCTGCAGATTGAAATAATGGTGTGATTTTTGGCCTTGATTTTGTTAATGTGCTATATTACACTGATTCTCCAAAATACAGAAAATATAAACTGACCAGTTATCACAGAAGAAATAAAATTGTCAAAGGACTACCACTCCTAAGACACCAAACCTACATGGTCTGATAGGTGAATTTTACTAAAGTGTGAAAGTATTACTAAGTTGTGTCTGACTCTTCGTGACTTCATGGGCTATAGCCCACCAGGCTGTTCTGTCCATGGAATTCTCCAGGCAAGAATACTATAGTGGGTTGCCATCTCCTCTTCCAGAGGATCTTCCTGACCGAGAGTTCAAACCCACATCTCCCACATTACAGGCAGATTCTTCACCCCCTGAGCCACCAGGGAAGCCTGAATTTTACTTAAGTTTGCAAGGGAAAGGAATCTACAATGCTATTGCAACCTCTCCCTGAAAGGGAAAAGAGAGGGCAAGCTTGGAAATGCATTTAATGAAGGAGCATAGTATAGTCTTCATACATATTAGTAGTGCCTAGTGGTTAAGCAAATAGATTTCAGCTACACTTTAAACCAGTCACTTTTGTATCAGAGTTAACTCTCCACCACAGAATAAAGTTGTAGTTGGAAATATGATTCCTGCTTAATAATTTTCTCAGCTTCCTTTCAGCTAGACTAATTCTCAACCATTGAAGCTGACTAGAAGTGACAATTCCCATTTCAAGACCAAGACTTGAAGCAGATGTCCCCTCCCTGTGGAAGCAGAATAATGTTCCCCCAAAGATCCTAATTCCTGGAATCTATGGTGTTACATGGTAAAGGGGAATTAAATTGCTAATCATTTGACCTTAAAATTATTTTGGATAACCTGGATAGCAGACAGGCTCTGTGTAATGATAGGATCCTTAACAGTGGAAGAGGGGTGCGCTGAAGAGTCAGTATTAGTGATGTGTTACAAGAAATACTCAACCAGCCCCTGCTGGCTTTAAAGACAGAGCGAGTCATGAGCCAAGGAGCGTGGGTACCCACTAGAGGTTGGAAAAAGCAAGGAAACAGATTCCCCCCTAAAGCCTCCAAAAGAAGTGAAGCCCTGCCAACACTTGGTTTTAGCCCAAGGAGATCTCTTTTGGATCTCAACCCTGGAATTTTAAGAATTTAAATATGTGTTGGCTTAAACCAGTTAAGTTTGTGGTAATTTACTATAGCAGCTATCGGAAGTTAATACTTTCTTCCACTTTTACTTTTTCCTCTCTTGCCAGGAAGGTGAAGTTAACAGTGAAACCTCGATAATGGTAGAGCCACAAGATGGAAGGATCAAGGGCCTGTGAATCACCAAGTAAAGTGAAGTCATCTATTGGTTGAAAACAAACACCTCAGACACTTATGTGTGGAAAAAAATCTGTTGTATTTGAATGATGACATTTGTTACAACTGTTCTGTCTCATTCCAGTGAGTTCAACTCTCAAAAGGAGGATATCAATAATAGCTACCTCAAATAGTTACTGTGAAAATTAAATAAGTTACTATAACTAAAGTATTTAGAATGATTCCTGACACACACTAAGTGTGGTATGTGTCAGTATTAAGATTGTGTGCATGTACTCACACACAAAATTTATAAGAATATATATATTTTTTAATATCACAGCAAACATTCTAAACAAAAGATTGGCTGATTGCTAGGTAGAATTCAGCAATACACTGAAAGAAGAATACAGCATGACCCTCAGTTCAGTCGCTCAGTTGTATCCGACTCTTTGCGAGCCATGAACCGCAGCTTGCCAGGCCTCCCTGTCCATCACCAACTCCGAGAGTTCACCCAAATTCATGTCCATTGAGTCGGTGATTCCATCCAACCATCTCATCCTCTGTCGTCCCCTTCTCCTCCTGCCCTCAATCTTTCCCAACATCAGGGTCTTTTCCAATGAGTCAACTCTTTGTATGAAGTGGCCAAAGTATTGGAGTTTCAGCTTCAACATCAGTCCTTCCAGTGAACACCCAGGACTGATCTCCTGTAGGATGGACTGGTTGGATCTCCTTGCAGTCCAAGGGACTCTAGTATACAGCCTTGACGTACTCCTTTTCCTATTTGGAACCAGTCTGTTGTTCCATGTCCAGTTCTAACTGTTGCTTCCTGACCTGCATATAGATTTCTCCAGAGGCAGGTCAGCATGGCCCTAGAGTGGTTTATTTTAAAAATACCAAAAGTTCAATATTAGAAAATAATGTTAATATCATTCACAGTTAGCAGTGAATAGAAAGAAACTAGCAGCAGTAGTTCCTTTCTGACTCATAAGTTGGACTATTAGAAAAATGCTCACCTCCTCACAAAACGAAAAATTGTTCCTAACTTATGACATTTGTTACAACTGTTTAACAAATGGTTTTTTCAATAGTCCTACATTATTGAACATAATACATTGCTAGAAGTAGCTCAGATGTTAAAATTTATTATTGTTGATTTTCTATCAGAGTTTGGAGGAGTGTTGAATTGAAATTGCCTAAATTCTGATTATGGATGAGTTTTCTAGTATCAGAGTCCAATACTTATGTACTAACATTAACAGTAGCCCCAGACTAGAAATGTAGTACATAAACAAACATTTATTTTACACAAGGTACTAATTAACTACAAATAGAAATATTTCCATTAATATTTATTTAGTAGCTTTATATACAGTTGCTTTGAGATTTACATGTACCACCATATAGAAGAGCTGTTGATTCCTCCATACCAAAAATGTGTTTTTCATAATTGATGTCATAACAAAGTGAAACTTGCGTTTCTGAAAGGTTTAGCCCAGTATACCATTTCTACCTTTGGTATGTTACAGGATAAAATGCTCTTTGGGCAGAGAGATTATATCCTTGTTGGGTACTCCTTGCTGACACTGGCTTTGTTGATTTGCTCTCCTGAGTTTTAGGCCTGGGAAGAGATTTTGGCTTGCTGAAATATTCTGCAACGGGTATTTTCATCTCATTTCTTCTTATAAACAATGGAGGCTTGCCCTCTGAAATAGAAAAAGTCTCAATAAGACCATAATTGAGACATCCAAATATAGTAGCTTCTGCCATGTCTTAGTAGCAAATGACATACAAAAAAAACTTTATGAAGTTTGGGTGATTCAGATACACCCAAAATTCATAAAATTATTTATTCTCATCTTTATTACCACCTGCTCATCTTTAATAAGCTAATTTGTACTACAACATGCAGGATATGTTCTTTCAGTTTTATAATCAAACATTATTTTGGTAGGAACCATTTAGAGCTGGTGATGGGCAAAGGATGGGACCAGTGAGAGAGAGAGGTGAAGGATCTACAGTCCTGACAAAAAAACAAAGCAGACAGCAGGTTAAAACAACTGCACTGATAAGACCTTCCCAAGGCCTACACTAGCTCCACCCAAGCAGAAAGGTGAGTCTGCGGAGACGCTAAATGCCAGATCGGGAAAGGAGGATGTCAAGGCTGTATATTGTCACCCTGCTTACTTAACTTATATGCAGAGTACATCATGAGAAATGCTGGACTGGATGAAGCACAACTGGAATCAGGATTGCTGGGAGAAATATCAATAACCTCAGATATGCAGATGACACCACCCTTATGGCAGACAGCGAAGAAGAATTAAAGAGCCTCTTGATGAAAGTGAAAGAGGAGAGTGAAAAAGTTGGCTTAAAACTCAACATTCAGAAAACTAAGGTCATGGCATCTGGTCCCATCACTTCATGGCAAATAGATGGGGAAACAGTGGAAACAGTGACTTTATTTTTTGGGGGCTCCAGAATCACTGCAGATAGTGACTGCAGCCATGAAATTAAAAGACGCTTGCTCCTTGGAAGAAAAGCTATGGCCAACCTAGACAGCATATTAAAAAGCAGACACATTACTTTGCCAACAAAACTCTGTCTCGTCAAAGCTATGGTTTTTCCGTAGTCATGTATGGGTGTGTGAGTTGGACTATAAAGAAAGCTGAGCACCGAAGAATTGATGCTTTTGAACTGTGGTGTTGGAGAAGACTCTTGAGAGTCCCTTAGACAGCAAGGAGATCCAACCAGTCCATCCTAGAGGAAATCACTCCTGAATATTCATTGGAAGTACTGAAGCTGAAACTCTAATACTTTGGCCACCTGATGTGAAGAACTGACTCATTTGAAAGACCATGATGCTGGGAAAGATTGAAGGCAGGAGGAGAAGGGGACGACAGAGGATGAGATAGTTCGATGGCATCACAAACTCAAAGGACATGAGTTTGCATAAATTCCGGGAGTTGGTGATGGACAGGGACGCCTGGCGTGCTGCAGTTCATGGGGTCACAAAGAGTCGGACACGACTGAGTGAACTGAATACCTACACCAAAGACTAAGGGGTATGATTTGGGGGTTTGTATACAAGTATCTAGACACAGTAAAATATATTTGAGACCTGCAGATAAGACATAAAATTGAATAATAGAAATCATCACTGTCAGGATTTTATGGTCCTAGGGTAAAGAATTTGTTAGGAGTCAGATACAACAGACCATCCTTGGAGTGTCAGAGTAAGTGAATGTTTTCTAATTTCTTAACTATACTTATTATTGCCTCATATTAGCAAATAACACTTCTTTGGGGTTTGATTAACCCCAACAGAAACTGCTGGGGTCTAGAGTGACCTCATGGATCTAATTGATTGCTGTATCATTCCTGGTGTAAGAGGGACTTGTAAGACAATTCGAGGCTTGTAGACATGCTTCATAGTGGCTGCTCTCTAGTCATTGTTGCTATGTTTGTTTTAAAGCTAGGAGTTGGCCGAACCCACAGGGATATTTAGATTGGGCTGTTTTGGACCAAGCTAGGACTTTCCACAATTCTTGGTATGTCTTGGTCCCGATTGCAGGCTGGGGCTGGACTTCTGAGAGGGACACAAAGCTGGTGCTCTCCTGCTGCTGATTCAAGCTGTGTCTCAGGCATATGTTGTGGCTGATTGCCAAAATGTTACTGTTTTCTCGGGCTGACTTTGTTTCAAGTGAAAATCATTTAGTTCAATGACAGTTTAGCTGTGAAAAACCCAAACTGATATCACCATTCTTTTTTTTTTTTGTTAGGTCAGTGCAGGTCTCCAGTCACTGGATTGAAATGACCAAACCTAGAGTTCCTGCGGTCTTGCTTCTCAAGTAGTGTGATGAGGCACTTTGCCTTTCAAAACAAAGTCAAATACAGGTCAGTTTTACCTCTACGAGAAATTCAGCAAATGCTGTCCCTTAAGAGTAGCTGTAAATCACTATTGCATTATACTCCCTTTAAAACCATAGATCGTAATACCTGTGTCTCCAACTAGTTAGATACTTACTGGTATATCAATTCAGTAATTATCACAAACTGTACTTAACCTTTCAGTACTTCCTTATTTTCTTCAGATCCTTGACTTGACACTCTAAATCAATTGGAGAAACAAAATGAAATTCACAGATACAAATATTTTCTATAGACTGAACCATCATCAACAAGTTAAGAAATGTATGTTTCTTAAATAAACATCTCTGTTTTTTGATGCAGATAGCATTGAATGTACTTTCTGATGAAAAATTCTTCTGACTTGAAGTAAACATATGAACAGTACATCAGATATTACACACTAGGGTAGAGAAACAGACCCTATCTCCCACTCTCAAATTGTATGGAAACTTCAAGGTGGCAACCATTTGCAATGTAAAATTCTCCTCCATCTGAATGCTTTTTAAAGTGACATATTACTTGTTTTGAGTATTTATTTTCTCCAAATTTAAGATTTACCCAACTTTTGCTAATTTTAAAGCAAAATGATTTTCTTTCCCAGCTTAAATAACATCTTACCACATTCTTTCACTATGATGTTACACATAAATATGTATTTTCTTCTGTCATTAAAATTACAAGGCTTGAGAAAAGTTCCTGCTGAAATAATTCCTAATTCCCTTAATAGTTGTTTTTCCTTCTGGTAGCCCCCAGGCATATGTCAGGGAAAATTAGGTTAAGCAATTTGTTTTAATCTTGCATTGTTCTAGACAGAAAGAAAAAGTGATACCTATATAATATGCATTCTTGCAAAGTATACAATAACAATGAAGTTTGGTTTTCTTTATTGCTTCTGTTTTTCAGTAAACTAAGAACCACTACATTTTCTTAGATTTCTGGGTGGTTCCTCTGAGTGGAAAGGGAACTTTTCTCAAAAACATAGGTTGTTGGGTAAGGAAGACATGGCCTCTGCCAACATGCTCTAAATAGTAGAATTTAGAATGATTTCTTTCATTTTCATAAATGTAATATGAGAAAACAAGTACATTGTTGTCATTTACTGAGTAAGGAGGATACTTAAAACCAGCAATTTTAGTGTTTTGAAAGATAACCAAAAGGGAATTCAAAGTCATTATGAACCACATGCCCCGTAAACTGGCCATCGGGCTTGATTACCTCCTCTGTTGATGTCCTTCCCTAGAACTTGTTAGCACCTTTGATTTTGCTGATGAATTTGAGGGTGACTTAACTTTGGGTGGCTCCCCAGTCTCTGCTGCTGGTTCAGCTGAGGTGTTTCTTCTGAGGCGAGTTAAGTTTATCTCAGCCAGTTCAGCATGAATCAAAGCTGAGACCCACTCCTTTTCTGATTTAAAAAAGAGAGGGGTCATGAAAGTTATACTTATCACGTTGGCTAGAAACACAGGATTAGTTCTTTTACCCAGCACTCCAATGTGAAAGGTAACCTGTTTTCTGGGTAGGCACCTTTGTGTGAGTTAAGGTTTTTAGAGAAAAGGTGGTTCACATCAACCTAGTTTCTCTCCCCCTGTGATATTGCAGACTGCTCAGAATAGCTAACTCACGGGGGTACTTGTCCCTGAGTAGCAGTGGAATAGATTTTAAATATTGAGTACAAAATCCAGCCTTACAGGCCACTACCAAATGAAAACAAAGATACCTATAAAAAATACTAAGTACAGTATGAGCTCATGAAAATTAAAACTAATATTTAAATAAGTTATAAGCATCTCTGAAAAGATACGTATCAAAGCATTACTAAAGTGGTGTCTGATAATTTTCTTTTTCTTTTTTTTGGTCTGGTTCACCTTTTTTTTTTTTTTTGCCCAACAGTAAGCACTCATTATTTGTGTAAATTTTTAAAAGTTATATTCTTAAAAAGGAAAAAAAAAAAGTAAAAACTCCTTACCCCCAAATACTTCTCAGTTGCCTGCCAAGTAATCTTGAATTCCTGAAGTAAAGTATTCCAAATTCTCCCCATTTAAAATTATCAGTCTATCCCTAACACATGGGTATCCCCTAGCTCTGATTACTACAGTGATTTTCAAAGGGTGCTCCCCAGACCAGGCTTATCAGCATCACCTGTTAACTTGGTAGAAGACCCTATTCTCAGGCCCCACCCACCTCAGAAGTTTTGCCTCAGTCAGTCAGATGACCAGCTAGGTTTGAGGATGGCTGCTCTGTGCTATTTATGGTCATCCCACTTGGGGACTGGCATATATTTTTCATGAAACAGACCAGAAAGAGCCTAAAGGAGGCTGGGAGATGACTGACTTGATGGTTTTGGTGAGGAACTGGCAGAGGTGTTAGAATCTGGAACTTGGAAGGCAATGCTCTTGCCATCCACAACGAAGAGGGGAAACAGGCTGTGTTGAGGGCTCCCAGCAGGCCAGAGATATGCTCAGGGAGAGCCTGGGTGCATGGGCTCGGGGAGAGAAGCACAAACCAGCTCTGGACACAAGTGTTTCACATCACCCACAGAGGTTCAGTTTGGGGCATGACCAGCTTGTGTGCCGTTGGATATACAGGACTCTGATACTGAACACTAGGGAAATAAAATTGCAGCATTGTCTCTGCAAATCCAAGGTAGAAAACTTCAGACACTGGCACATTTCCTAGTTTCTGGCCATGAACTGAGCTCAGTGTTCACAAATACGTACTCTCACCTTTTGAACTCGCATGAAGCAGCCACTGTAGAACTTCTGCCAGAGAATCAGTGCGTAAAATGTTGCAGAGCTTTTCCAGAATCTGACAGAGAATATTAGGGTTACATAGTGAGCAAAGTTTATAAGGTTTCCTTTACTCTCTCCACAGTCTTGTCTTCCCACATGTCACTCTGTACACAGTGTTCAAGACAACTGGGATTTTAACTTGGAAGCCAGATTTCAAATAGGAAAAAACATCTTCAGTACAAATGTAGTTGATTCCTGAGCAAGGCAAGGTTAGTCTACTGCCAACCCTCTAGGCAGTCGAAAATCCAACTATAACTTAGAGTCAGCCCTCTGTATAGGTGGCTCCTCCATATTCTAAATTCCACATCCATGGATGCAACCAACCATGGATCATGTAGCACTGTTGTATTTACTACTGAAAAAATTCCATGTGAAAGTGGACCCACGCAGTCCAAACTCATATTGTTCAAGGGTCAACTGCAATAGTTTAGGTTAAGCCATGCATGCAGTTTTCTTTTGTTTTGTCTGTTCAGTACCAACATCTTATGGAGGAGCAATTCACTTTTCTTCTCTTTGGGAACTGATCCTTTCCTACTGCACCATGGGATTCTCTGGTCACAGAACTGTCCCATTCATTTTGCTCCTCTCTGTAGTGAGTGAACCTAGCTGGATTCTTCATTGTTCCTCAGGCCCCAGAACACAGTGATTGGCCTAATCGGATAGGAATATGATTCTCTTTAGTCAATCGGAATCCTTCATTGACTTCTTTTTCATTTGGAAGCTAACTGCTGTGTTGGTGATAGAGGAAATAAATCAATAAAAATGGACTATAATAAATATTAAAAGTCCAAAATATAAAGCACATGTAGTGTTTCCAGATTTACCCCAAATTGTATCTGCTTTTGGAATTTAGACATACCTGAAATTTAAACCTGTCTCCTGAACTTCAGTCCATCTGCGACCATAGACATACGATAGGTAGTTTGAACCCCAAATACCTAAAACTGCACCCATCTTTTTCTTTATAAAACCTATTCCAAACTTGCTGTCCCTTCTGGTTCCCCATCTCAGTGGACAGCACCTGCATACGTTGAATATATGTCCAAGCAAGACCCTGGGATTCACCCTAGATGACTCCCTTGTCCTTTTCTATGTCATACTGCCAAACAAGGTCCGTAAATTCTTTCTTGTAAATATGTCTCAAATCTCCATTTCTCTTTATCCCCATAGCCTTGCTTGACACAGTGTAAACCATCATCAATTCTTGCTTGAGCATATTTTTTCCTAGACTTTCTGCCTGAAAACTTTTATTAAAATACTATTAATTCAACAGATATCAATATTTGTGTCTATCATTGATTTAGGTGCTGGAGATACAGAATTTAAAGGGCAGAAAAATCCACTGTCCTGTATTCAGCTTTGTTTGTTAAGATTCCTGTCCTTGATGCCTTATCCTAGAAGAAAACAAGTAAAATTTGTTTTTAATTTCATGACAAATCAATGGAAATGGCAAAAGGAGAAGAGTAGGCCTGTGGTATTCTCCAGGCCACTCTGCTTCTTACGGTTTTGTCATCAATATAGTGATTGCACGTCACCCCTGACTTCTTCTAACTTATAGGTCATTTACTGATCAGCTCTGAAAGAATGTAATTAGTCATTTCAGTGAAAGAAAATAGAAGATGTCTTCCTCCGAACCCTGCTTTCTCTTCATTTTTATTCTGGAAAGCAGTTACAATAAGTGGTGATAAATAAAGTGGGCAAGTTTGAGCTACTGAAATTTGATTTTAGGATTTAAGAGTGTAGATCTAGAGTAGCCGCAACTGTGGGCCAGAGCCCCCTATTCTTTTTCTAAGGTGTGATCTTTCTGGTGTCTCAGCTGTATCCTTGGTGTGTTCAGCAAGGTATCTCCACTCTGCTGCTACTGCTAAGTCGCTTCAGTCGTGTCTGACTCTGTGTGACCCCATAGACAGCAGCCCACCAGGCTCCCCTGTCCCTGGGATTCTCCAGGCAAGAACACTGGAGTGGGTTGCTATTTCCTTCTCCAATGCATGAAAGTGAAAAGTG